GGGGAGGGGGAGAAAGGGGCTAGGGTTTTGGGAACGAAGGAGAAGAGGGTCGGGTTGGTCGCATGGGTGGGAACAGGTAAAGCGTGAGTGGGGTTCTATGCGTGAGTGGGCCTTTTATAGGCGCTGTCAAACTCCACGGGACTTGAAGTCCCTTGAAGTTTAAGCTTCACGGAACTTCAAGTCCCGTGAAGCTTGGGTGAAGTTAACTACATTGCTTAACAATTTCGTAACTTTTTTTATCAAAATCGATCCAGCTTCAGCCAACTTGTTAAAACTGGATAGATTTTAATAATTAAGTTAAAAATAGATTATTTTTTATAATTAAATTTCTAAATAGATTGTTTTTGAAAATTTGTCCTAATTCCGACTTATCATCAAACGGACCCTAAGCACTCACTGTGTATGTACAGACAAACTCAGGCCCAGTTCATTGAACTCTCCCCATAGGCCAAACTCCAGGCCACGTTCAATCCATTTAAACAAACAAAAAAAATACCAACAACAATTTCTTTTTCCCCCCTTCTCTGATGAGAATTTCAATAAATTCTCTGTACCCATAAAGTTCTGGCAACATAAGATTAGAAAAATTCATGGGTTCGTCTGGGCAAGTCAAAAAACCTGAAGAAGAATGGAGGGCTGTCCTCTCCCCTGAGCAATTCAGGATCCTCAGAGAGAAAGGAACTGAGTAAGACCCATTTGCAAAACTTGTCCTTTTTCATCAATCTTTCTCATGATTTACTGTATTTTTTTTTTGAAATTATTCTATATGTAATCTAATTAGATTTGTTGCAATCAACCCGTAAAGCGCCCACTTCTAGAAACTTAACAGTTGTTGTCGAAATTTTGTGCTCAAAGAGATTGATTGTACGAAAATAAGATTGCTCAAAATTGATTTCTTCTGTTAACGTTGGAATTTTTTATGGGGACGAGTATATTCTTGGTTCAAACTTTGTGATGGCTGTATGGAATGAATTCGGGTTTGTTTCAAACGTGTGATTATGATATGTGCTTCTCGTTAAAGACTTGGTTAAATTTGGACTATGAAGGTTCTACATAGTTGTGCAGTGCAAAATGAACATGGGAGGAGGTATAGATGAAGTGTTGCATATGTGCATGACATTTTTTGATTCGTGTTCCTTTGCTTGGTCTTTCGAAGAACTGTATGTGTATGTAAGATAGGACAAATTTTCAAAACCAATTCTTTTGCAAAAATATTCCCCAAAAACGACCTGTTTCAACTTTAATTACCAAAACCGACCTAGTTTCGGGCTGAAACTAGGTCGGTTTTGGCGAAAAAGGTTCCCAAACTTCACATCCCGTGAAGTTTTTTACATAACAAAACTTTCCGTGAAGTTTTTTTACAAAACTTCACGTTATGTAAAAAAACTTCACGGGACTTCAACTCCCGTGAAGTTTGGGAACTTTTTTCGCCAGAACCGACCCAGTTTCAACCCTGATATTGAAACTAGGTCGGTTTAGGTAATTAAAGTTGAAACATGTCGTTTTTAAAAAAATAAGTTTCAAAAAGAGTTTGTTTTGAAAATTTGTCCACGTAAGATATGCACTGAACTATAGTTTGCTGCCATGCTAGGTTTTGTGGGCATTGTCCTGATGAATATATAATATATACCAGTGCTAGTTGTGCCATTCGGTAGATAGATCAAATTGAATGGGCTAACCAGAAAACTTCTAACTATTAACTTTGGTGGAAAAACCATTTTATTATCGAAACACTTAAAAAACTCTGCCATGCGTAATTGGTATCTTGATTGAACATCTCAGCTTAAGATGGTGTAACTTGTAGGCAAGATTAAAAAAAAAAACTCTTTAATGTGTAAGGCATTTTATGGTTTTGTCTTTTGTGAATGTTTCCCACTAGTGAAGCACATTTAAGCCATGACAAAGAAACCTATGAGAACGGAATCGTATGAATATATTTTATTTTAGATTTTTCAAGACTTTTGTAGATTTTCCCCTTTATTCGGTTTTCACGCCTATAAAAGAATAATCATCTTAGCTTTTTTGCACCTAACATCATTATCTTTAATGAGCTGATGCTTAAGAGTTCTTTATGGTCCTTCCAAATTGCCTAAGTACTTGATCGTTGCCAGTTTCTCCTCCAAAGCCAACTTCATAAGACTAGGAAACTTTTATTGCAAAGATATATCGCCTCATTTTGTCCAGGAATTGACATTTCATAGCTCCAGTTGCAGACTTGGTTCTGCAAAAAGAGGATCTTTCATTATTCATTTAAAACAGTCAGTATGGTTCCTTTGTGTATTTTCTTTGTGCATTTTTTTCCTCATTTTTGCTTTCTTTGATCAATGTTAATTTCCCAAATGCATTCGCTTTTCACAAATTTTGTATGATGCCCGTCAAGTTTCGATTGTCATCTTGAGCTATTATGGCACATTACACTACTGTATACTATTGAAACAAATCATTACCTGTCCTCTGATGATACAAAAAGCTTCCCTCTTTTTTAAATTAAAGTTTTAGGCGTCTATTTGAAAGTGCAGTATGTATGTTATGTCATAGTTCTAACTTTTATGGCAAATATCTAACATTTTACCTTAGCTTCTCCTACACCCATCAGATTTCACATGTCAATGAGCAATAGGATCGTAGAATAAAGCCATACTTGATCGAAAGCATTACCACTAGCTGACTCACATGTACCATTTAAGGTTTCCATGCAAAAATAGCTTTCAGGTCAAGAAGCACATTTGTTATATATGCCAACCAGGAATAGAAAAGGATACAAAAATCTCATCGTTTTAGGTTGTAATTTTATAAAATGTTCGGTTTATATTCTTTTTATATCTTTTGTTGTTACTGACATTGGTGATGCTGGTCAGGCCCCGAGGCACCGGTGAGTATGACAAATTCTACAAGGATGGAACGTACGCTTGTGCTGGTTGTGGGACTCCCCTTTACAAATCTACCACCAAGTTCAACTCTGGATGTGGTTGGCCTGCTTTCTTTGAGGGTTTTCCCGGAGCCATAAATCGATCAGTATATGCATTCTCATCCTAGTTTATATTTTTTACTTCCTTGAGCTTCTCCTAAGATGAATTTACAGATGAGAATGGTTTCCCTACTCAGTTTAAAATTCTTATCTATTTTGGAATTATCTACTCATATTTAACTGCCCGATCCCTTTTTTCCCCTTTTTTGTTTCTTTTTTTTTGCATAACTTCGGCATAGAAAGTGCAGAAATGCAAGGGCGATGTAGGCTTTTTCTTACATGTTAAGCTAGATGATCATTAACTAATTTGGAGAACATTCTTTGGTGAAATTTTGTAGTATGTTGGTACGAGTTATTTAAGATTTCTTCTCTCAAATACTCCTTTGCCGGAGAGATTGAACCATTAGTTATGATCCAGACCTTGAAATTGACCAAATTCCAGTTCACTGGCTGGGGACTGTGACTGAACTGATCTATTGCAATTTAATTTGTTCTAAATATTGGTATGTAATAATGTATGAGCACTTGTTTTAGGACACTTAGATGTTGATCTTATACAGTTAGATAGGAGTAATTTTGTGTTTCGAGGTTACGAGGTTACAAGCTACGGTTAGTAGACATGGCCATGAGTGTCATACTCTGGCATGGGTAAACGTGTTGGACATTATAATTGTCCAATATCCACGAGAACGCAACTATGTATGTACATTTTTTGAGTCATATAAAAATGTGTATTATGTATCTATGTCTATAGCTGTTGACAAATTTGCAAGTGACAGGTATGGATGCTGGGCATGTGTATAAAGTTCAAGCGTATTAAACAATACTATTTCTTTTATTGAAATTATTGTCCCACATATCATAGATTACATAAGTAAAATAAAATAGAGGAATATCCGCTCTGAATGAGCTTTATCTTCTGGAATCTCCAAATAATCCATGCTAGTTATTTTTTACTTTATTTTGTTGAATTTTAAAGTGCTTTTTTACCCTTATTTCAGCCGGATCCTGATGGAAGGAGAACAGAGATAACTTGTGCGGCTTGCGATGGGCACCTTGGCCATGTGTTCAGAGGCGAGGGATTTAAGACGCCGACTGATGAACGTCACTGCGTCAATAGTATTTCAATAAAGTTCAATCCTTCTTCCACTCTCTAAACTATTAATGTAGTGGATGTTCGCAATGATAAGTCATGAACAAAAAACACTAACTCTGCATTATGAGGAATAAAACCCTTCGTTTCTGTTATGCTATAGAAATGTTTGTTTTCCAAGTAACCATCAAGTTGTGCATCTTCGCTGTTTTGGTTGCGTTGTTAAGTTGTATTGCAACAGTGTGACTTGCAACGTTTGTTTTGTTAAAAGTGATGCTGCAGATTTATCTTAAAAGTTTGACGTATGCTGCAATTGAAACTGTTGTATGCAGATTGCATGCAATATCTGTTATGGGAAACTAATCTCAAAGCCGTCATTTGGATATTTACATTTTATTGTGAAACGAGTTTCCAATTCATCCAAATGTTTGGTTAGTGGTTAGAAACAGTTGGATTTACAATATTTATTGCTGGAAACGTATTCTCATTGCACGCCAAGTGTTTGTTTATCTTCGTTATGCGACAATCTTCATTTTCTAAGTTGTAATCCACTTAAAGCCCCTGTTTCCCATCTTTGTGCCTCAGAACGTCCCACACGGTGTGCCTGTGCAGAGTGTTTTGATAGGATCTGCACTCTTACAAATAGAAGCCAAATGAGCATCAGCTGCACTATTTTCGTTCTTTTTAATAAATATTTGAAATATTGAATCTGTTATATCAGCAACATTACCCATGATTTCAATCAAAACACAAGAATACATCACAAGGAACAACTCTCAGAAGTGTCATTCTAGCTCTACTGTTCATCTATATCCTCCTCTGAATCATGCAGACCATCAAAAAATGAACTAAGATAAGAGCACGAAAGCTCACTCCAGTCTCTGTTCCTATGATCGCTTGCTCGCCATTGCTGATCAGCGATCATATCAGGCGACAATCCCCACTGCTCCATCTCCTCCTTGGTGTGATGAATTGCAAGCGAGTACTCTCCTGCGGGACCCAACTCCATGACCCTGAACTCGCAGTTGCCGAGATTGTTGAGCCTCTCGAATTGGTCTACTGTCCACTTGAACCATTTCATTAAGAACACCCGGGAAGTGAGACCGTGGGAGATTATTATGAGGTTAGTGTCATTGGTGTCATCTTGGTGTAGCCTTTTCATGTCGATGTCCCTCCATAGAGACTCCATGAAGCCTAAAATATAGATCCAGGGTTAAAGCCTGAATACTTAATTGCTTATATACCCCCTGCAGTATCGTGCTTTGGAGCTTCTTATGCTGTAGTTTAATTTTAGCATATAGACTTCCTTGGTGAAATTTTTTCGACTCTTTAACTTGAAATTACCCTTAGGTCAAATTAGTGAGTCCACCTACATGTAAAAGAGTCAAAAAAGTTCATCCAGGGGGTTTGTCTGCCGAAATCAAACTAGAAGGGTAGTAAGTTCCAAAGTATGATACTAAGGGGTCTATGTGCAAGTAACCCCATTAAAAATGCGATGATTACATCAAAAAAGTCATGAGAATCTAACTAGAAACAGAAAATGTGGGGGGAACATGTAACTATAGGGGGATTTTCTGTGATTATATCAATGATAGGAAGATTTTCTGTAACTTTCTCAATTTATTAACTGAATTTCTGAATCTAAGTTATGACATATATTCTAAAATCTACCATAACTAAGATAACTTCTCCTTGGCAGTACTGAGGAGGATGACACGTACAGTAATAAGATTGCTGCATAAAGGAATCTCAAACAGAAACTGATACCAATTACTGTTTTATTGAAAGTTTACATCCTGTTATACAACAAATAAAGACTCTGGCACTTTAATTACTATAATGTTATATTGACCAAAAATTCTTCTAAATGCATATGGCATTTTCACACTTCAAATTTTTACTTTTGCGACATTCTAGCAATTATAAAAGCATAAACATGAACACATCACTATGATAAACCTGTAAAATCAAATAATAAACAACACCAAAATCTGAAATGAAATTTTAGAGGCACATCACTATGATAAACCTGTAAAATCAAATAATAAACAACACCAAAATCTGAAATGAAATTTTAGAGGGAGAAACTTACTGGAAACCTGTAAAATCAAATAATAAACAACACCAAAATCTGAAATGAAATTTTAGAGGGAGAAACTTACTGGAAACCCGATCAAAGACATCAGCAGCAGACTCCCCCTCTGGAAACCGAAAGAAAAACCTCCCAAACCTCTCCCTCGTCTCCTTCACAGCCCTCATCCTCTCCTCCACCTGAAAGTTCCCGAAATCCTGCTCCCTTATCCTACACTCCTCTCTCACCCCAATTATCCTTTTCCTCCCAAATGCCCTCCCCAATTCTCTTAACGTCGCCCGCGTCCTCTCGTAAGGCGACACATAGAAGTACACCTTTTCATTGATTCCTGATATCACACTGCGAATCTTTTGGCCTGCGGCGTGAGCTTGTTTGATGCCTAAAGGAGTTAGTGGGATTCGATTGTCTGGTGTATTTGTGTATGCTGACATGTCCAAGTTGCCCTGGCTTTCGCCGTGCCTCATTAGGATGATTCTCTTGGGTAGTTTTCGGTGAGGGTGGATTGCGAGATTTTCGTGTCCTAGATCCTCATGTATCCATTCCTTCATTCTGGTTTGTTTGATTTGTGAGCTGATGAATATGGTTTTGATGTCTGTGGAAATACTTTGTTGCAGAACTGCTCAGTGCATAAAAGAAAACAAGCATGAGCAACCATTATAACAATAGAAGGGTTTCTTTTTTAATATACCCCTTAAATCACGCATATTCACAAAACTCCATCATTAACCTTGGGGGGGAAGTACTCTAAAAGCAAGAAATCGTCAATTTTGACTGGCTAATCTGTAGTTGCAATGTAAAGACATTAACAAAACAGTCAAATGCTTACTCACAATGTCCAACAAAGCTAATGGCTTGTTGATTTGGGTGTATTTTTTCTGAACTTAATAATTTGAGGGGTAAATACTGAGATTTGGGGGACAGTTTTGCAAATATGCATGGTTTAATGGGTATATATACAAAAAAATAAAAAAAAAACTGCCAAACCCAGGATTAAGCACTGTTGGAAGGGAGACAGAGAATATCACTGATGAATTGGAAAATTGTGCATTAATAATTGGAAAATGAATACAAGAGTTTGTACTAACCTTGGGAAGTTGGATGATTTGCTTCTCTTAATTCTCCTCTGAGCGTTTATATATGGGTTTCAAAAAGGTTTGGAGCTGATAAATGTGGCTTTTTCTCCACTTGTTTGGTTGAACAATTCACGCCATCTCTGTCTGAATACTTTCTCGTAGAACTGCTCAGTGCATAAAGGAGATAAGCATGGGTCATCATTATAACCCCAAAAAAAAGTATCATTAGAATGAAGATGAGAGTATTATGTCAATAATTTGGAAAATTATGCAAGGTTAGTTGAAATGATGGATGTAATGCGAGAGTTTTCACTAATTTTGAGGATGCAAGTAGTTGAAAGCAGTGTAACTTGACCAAAGAAAGTTTGACTTTGAAACTTGAGTATGAAGAAACAGCTTCCAACTTTTACAGCCATCGAAGACTTTTCTGATTTTTGACACAAAAGGAATCTGTACCATTTCTGTAGCTTTAACCACATTCACACAGATTTTTCCAATAAAAATAAAAAAAAGATTAAATCATTTCTACTCTCATAAATACCCTCTTTTGAAGATTCAGAAACTTAAAGAATAAAAAGAAGAATATATTACATTACACAATCTAACAATTCAATGATACAAGGAAATGTACACATCAATAATATGCCTCCCATTAATGATCATCATACGCCGAATTCTTTATACATGTCCATTAAGAAATATAAAACATTTTACTATCTACAATTGTCGCTACAAAATCAGGTAGCCACCTTGAGTTCAAGCAGTATTTCATCTCTCCAAATTACCGTAACTGGAGCCTATTCGCCAAACAACATGATCTCCAACTTCTTTGTGATAATACAAAAGAAACAGCTTTCCTGATTTCCATCTTTACTCAAAAGCTTCTGAAACTCGTTTCCTCACTCTGTCTTTTGAAGCCATCCAAGCTGTGTTTATGACAAGGTAGCATAATGAAATCACAATAAGTTTGAACAAATAGAAGAAACTTTGGATCAGCGTAAGTAATAATAGGAGAATACCTTCCAGGTATACATAAGGAAGAAGGCAACAGTATCTGCTGACCATACAACAGCAAATGACTTCACGAAGAAAGGGATCAAAACGTTAAGTAGCGGAATGAGAAGAAAGAGGTAATTGAGAGCTTCCTTTTCGTTCTTTGAACAATCTCTTGCTCGTAGTGAAGGAATTGCTGCAAAAAAATACACACATTTAATCATGATAAATCATGAGTTAAACTACGAATTTTTTATAGCACAAGATTAAAAAAAAGAGCATAAACAATTGATCCAAACATTGAGAAGTCACAACAAAGCAAGAGACATCTCTCTTTTCATAGTTCAGATGTTTTTCCTTTCGTTTTCTTTCTTTCGTTCTTTCTTTTCTCTGTTGTCTTTCTTTCTTTCTTTCTTTCTTATGGGAGGCATCTGTGAATGTGATACAGCTATATTTTGCATGTACACAATTTATCTGTTTAAATATAAGATATACTAGACAAACAAATGTAGTTCAGGTGATAAAAGGATACGATAAAGGAATACTAAGTTGCAAGGGATTTACATAAACTTTTTCTTATAAGGTTTCATATCAAAATTTCAGAGTTTCGATCTTCTTGTAGGATAGTACCCAAAAAGTTCAACCTGATATAACATCATGGAATGCCATAAGAGGGTAAAGATAACTCACTGAACATCCAAATGGACCACATCCCCATCAGTCTCCATATATCAGGTTCATTCGATGGAAATATAAGATTGAATGATAATACTCCCCCAAGTAACATTGAGGCATATCCCTGAACTTCAAAGACAGTGTAGAGAGCTGTTCCAGGTACTGCAGGATTCTTAGTGGCAGTCGAAGCCCTTGGTGCAAAGGTCGCAGCAGTCTTTTGGACAGCCTATTGCAGAGAACAAGAGTAGCTTTACACATGCTGATCTATTTGTGTAATGATGAATAACTAAAAGGGCCAAAAAGACAGCAAAGAAGCACAAAATTTCATCATCAAATATAGTTATTTTTCTCGTCAAACCTCGAGGAGCTATGTTCCATTAGCTTCTCTCTGATGAAACAGGAGATACTCCACTGTCTTCTAACAGGAGAAATAAATAAACACACAAAAGATTATCTTTTGTGTACAAATACTAATCTCATAGTTGTTTTGTAAACACAATGTAGAGGAAAGGTTTAAAAGGGAAGTATCCGAACATCTTGTGCTAGGCCACTTACTTCTCATCTACTAAGAGTTACTTTAACTGAAATATGGATCAAATCAAAATCCTCTCTTGGGCTTCACAGACTGTACTCAACCTTTCAAGTTCCAATTAACATCTTTCTTGTTAACAAAATGATTAGTATAGCACACTCGAATCGTATTTGAAATTCAACATAGATATATCATATCTAAAACTCAATTTGAGCGTGAACTATATGGCGCCCTTAGTATAACAGTGGACAGTTAAAGCGACAAAATTGTGGTTCAGACTCATAGCTCGAGTGAGGCCAACTGTTTGACAAGCTGACTTCATTGTTAAGCTGAATCTTCCATGAAAAACTGCGAGTTTTATTGGCACGGACAGAATGTCACTTAAATTACATCCTCATATACACTGGCGAATTAGTCTCGATGTTGAAAACCAGACAGTTATAAAGCAGGTCTTGGATCCTTCTAATTCAACATTACCAATGCATGTACACATGATTTATGAACATACCAACATAAAACTATCTCAATATCTTTGCAAACTCCATTTATTTCTCCTAATGACAACGATAGCTGGCCAAACAATACTTGGAACTAAACTAACAAATTGAAAATGTGTCCAATAAAGAACCTACAACGAAAAAACCTAACAAACTGAAATTTCATCAAATAAACATCATAAAGGGGTAGATAACACAAAAACAACAACTGGGTATCTCTAAAGTTGGATGAAGACATCACCCAGGAGCAGAAAGGGCTCACCTTTTTTATGTCTTTCTCTGAGAGAGGGGCGGCTCTCTTGCTGCTGCCATTGCTGCTGATATTCTCACCCTCGGGGCTCAATTCCTGCACGCTGGGTTCTCGGGTTTCTACGCCATTTGGACCAGCATCCTCGGCTCTCAATCTCCTTGTTCTCGATCTCCGTGGCTGGAAAATGGAGGGGAATTTTGAAATTGGAGAGCTGCAGGTAATTGAGGAGAATAAAGACTGCATTTTTTCCTCTCTCTCTCTCTCTCTCTCTCTCACTCCACTCAGGAGAGAGGGAAAAAATGGAGAAGGAAAAGGATAAGGTGAAAGAATATCCAAATATAAATTGCATATAATTGACATTTTTGCAAATAGCCCCATGGGGCTGTTTGTTTTGCTATGGGTAACATCTATCCCAAACCGAGTTTTTATTACCAAAATCGACCGAATTTTTTTTAATTACCAAAATCGACCCGTTTTATGCCACGTAAGCTTAAGCTCATTTTCTAATTAGTCAGGGTTGCCAACCCCGACTGTTTAGGAGTTGTTAAACCCCAATTAAATCGGGTTTAAGGCTTCTAATTGGGGTTTAACAACTCCTAAACAGTCGGGGTTAGCAACCCCGACTAATTAGAAAATGGCCTTAACCTTACGTGGCATAAAACGGGTCGATTTTGGTAATTAAAAAAAAATCGGTCGATTTTGATAATAAAAACTCGGTTTGGGTCTACAGTGAAAAATTATTCAGAAATCTACTTCAAATATATAGTTTGGTCATATCTGCAATCTTATTATAGAAAATGTGTTTAGCTGAAAAAAGCTGATGAAAAGTTATAAGATTGAGAGTTTGAGAGGGCTTATTTTTCGAGAGTTAAAAAGTTATGCTAGCTTTTAGCAACTTTTAGCTTTATGATAAAAACGCTATAAAAATTGTTTGGGTATAATAATAATTATTTTGGTCAAATCTTGCTTGTTTAGGTGAGCTTATAATCTAATTTCTCAAAATCTGAAGTATGCCAGCTTTTTTAAATGAGGTTTTACAGATTAGCTTATTTGGCAGTTTACCAATCATAACGATATGAAAAGGTTAACTTTATAAGTAGTTTGACCTAAATATAAGCTCCCCCAAACATCCTCTTGGTATTAGCACGATTTTTTTTTTTTTTTTTTTGAGATGACATTGCTTTCGATTTTATTTTTTATCTTTTGCTGCAATATTTGCTGCGAACAAACTGGATGCAGTATTTGCTATATTTTTCTTTTACAATTTGTAAATTCACTTAACTTTTCTAATAAAAATCTACGATAACAAAACGTTGTACGTGTAAATTTGGGTGCAAAACTTGCTTGTGTAGACCTATTTCCACTCCACAAACAATAATCCCTAAAACAAATATCACGTTCTAATCTGAGGGAAATCTGTGAGAAGGTGTTAAATAGGACTAGAATAGAACTTATTTTCTCGGATTTTAGTTACGATTCAATACCCAATAAAACTTTAACAAAAAAAGAACTTATTATAGAAATCACTAATAAACTGAATTAAAATTTTAACAAAAAATTAAAAGAGAACTTATAGAAAACCCCTAATAAATCGAAATTAGCCTCAAATCACTAAAATTGCTATTAAGTCCCAAATCTTAAGTTGTTTTGAAATTAACTACTCAAATCAAGAGACAAATTAGTCATTTAAATTCATTGAAATTGCTATTTCATTCCTAAATCCTCATAAGTTGCTTTAAATCAATCCCTATGATTCCTACTTTAACTCTGGTTGGAGGGGCTAATTTGAAAATAGCTTACGATTTTGGGGATCTAATAGTAATTTCAATGATTTGAAGGAAATTAGGATGTAAGGGTTTAAGGAAGGTTTTGAGGGAAATTAGGATGCACCTCTCGGTGTATGGATTGGGTTATTTCAAAAGACGATCGGCTCCATTCATTATGATTCAAATATCTTAAAATATCTATAAAATAAAAAATCATTATGTCTCAATACTTCTAATATATATTTTTCATTATATTTTTAGTTGTATTGTCGTTAAACTGTTAATTTTATATTCACTTGATGCATAAGTAACTACCATCCAATATGCATAATTTTTTGTTTATACACTATTCAAAACATATAGATCAAAATGAATGGTGCGGATCAAATAAAGTGATTGCATGTAAAGTAATTTTGTAATTGCATCCTTAAATTTAATCTAAAGTGAATATATATATATATATATA